GGGACTACCTCCAATACACATAGTGGTAAGAGTGTCTTTTACAACTGATCAATTTAAGAAGATGTGGTAGAATAAAGTTATTTTCAGAATTTACTTTCTCATCATAAGCTCATATTTTGTCTTGAGTCTTGTACCATCTGTCTCATCCCTCTTTTCTCAGGCCTGTCATCTGGACCCCATGCTAGATGACTCTGTGATGTTTGCCAAAAGGCTGCGAAATATCGGTCAGCCAGTGACCCTGTGTGTCGTGGATGACCTTCCTCATGGCTTCCTCAGTCTGTCCCAGCTCTCGAGGGAGACTCGGGAAGCTGCTAATGTATGCATGGAGCGAATCAGGGATGTCTTCACCATGAAAGACCCTCCCCCAGAGATGCGCAAGCACCGCAAACTGGAACGGACCAACCAGAAGCCTTCTGCTACGAAAAGAGACCACACTCAGCTTTCGCAAGTGACTGTGCAGGAGGAGGAGGGGCTATCTGTTGGGGGAGGGGCTTCTGTTTTGGATGAGGAGGGGCTTACTGGTTTTTACCCTCCCACTAAAGCTGAAGCTGAAAAGATTCCAGCTTAGATTTTGGCCTGAATGATACCAAAAGAGATACATATGGGTAGAGTAAGGTCATATTATTTGAATAATGCAGTGATTATAGCGGACTAGAGTATAGAGAGAAAAATAAAGGAATTAACAAACTATTAAATGAAAAGTTATGAAAGAAACTATTATTTAGTTATAGAGTGGATAAAGTTCAAATTAGAACACCTCCAGCTTTATTACTCAAATGTGATTGTGTACACATGCACTCCCTTTACATCTGTTTACCACCTTGCCTTTTGTTGCATTATACCAGCACAAAAACTAATATCCTGCCTTGTACAAAACATCCCAGCACATAACCGTCAGTGAAAGACATTACAAATGGATGTATAAACCCAAACCTCACTCCTTATAGCACTATAACTGTTCTTATACGTTAATGAAATCGGTCTACAAACTGTGATTCAATATTATACCTGTGTGCTACAATTTAAACTCCATAGAATGCATTGCTGCTTGGCATCCTGGGGCTAACTGACAAGAGCATTTATTAATGGTAGATTTTTTTTCTTTGTAGTAGCTTTTGAATTATTTATGACACCGAATTATAATATGGTGTTACTGTGTATGTTAATCACCCTTTATTAATCTACCTGCCTCTTGGCTCCTAGAGGACGTCCTGTGCGAGTAGCGTTTGAATAGGATTTCTGATGCTGCTTTGTCCTCATAGAGTTGGGTGTTTATGAAATGCAATTAATAGTGATCAAATTTCCCACAAGCGTTCTGTGGAAGGAAAGCTCAAGTTACACAAAACCGCACTGAATTTGTGATATAGTATAACTTGTGTTCTATGGTGTCCAGTCTTGTTATACTTAAAATAATAGTCCATTTTGTCATATATTATCTTCATAATGGCTTGGTGAATTGTGTTTAGTTTGCTGTAAAGTGCTAGTTCATCCAAAAATGAAAATTCTGTCATAATTTTTTCACCCTCACATCATTTCAAACCTGTATGACTGTTTCTTTAAGAACGTTTCAGCTATTTTTGCCCAAACAATGAAAACCACTAGGGTCCAAAACAAACCAACATGGGGCTCCTTTGACTTTTATTGTATGGGCAAAAAAACTGAGATTTAAAACTGGACACTCCGGCCATGTCCACACGTACACGGGTATTTTTATAAACAGAGTTTTTCCTTCTTCCGTTTTAAAAAAAATCTCCGTCCACATGAAAACACAAACGCATGCTATGAAGCACTGTCAAGAGCATGCCAAGCCAACAGGTGGCGATATAATCTCAACCGTAAAGCCATGTTGGCCAATCAGAAGCCTGAAAAAGTTTCCAGTAGGCGGAGATAACAGCGCATGCTCCGACATCACAAGCCAAAAACTCCGGTTTCGCTGTCTACACGATAACACTGCAACCGGAGATTTTGAAAATCTTCACCCTGGCAGGCGTTTTCAAAAATGTTCGGTTTAAGTGACCTGGTGCTGCGTTTGCGTGTGGACGAACGGCCAAACCGCGTAGAAAAAGCTGCGGTTTTAAAAATAACCGCGTTCGTGTGGACAGGGCTTCCCATCACCGCCTCTGGGTCGTTCTCTTGACATGTCAGCACAAGTTTCCATTACTTTTCCCTATCCCTTGTTCCTTCAGTCAGTTTGTTTCCCTCTGTTAACAATCGTGTCATCTGTCCCTGTGCACGCTGACCCATTTTGAGCACACTCTTCAATTCTCACCCAGCCCCTCCTAGAGGTATTTTAAGCAGACTCCCTTAACACCCAGCAACCTTGAGCCAATGAAAACTTTCAGCCTGCACATGTGTGATGCATACCGCTGTGATGGCGTGTCTCCATTTGAATCAGGTCGCCTCTTTCTCTGGCACTAATTGACTCTATTGACTCTCCGAAAAAAATAGCCAACATTTTGCCACTCGACAAAGTTTATTAGTGCTGTATGGGAGGTTTGGGCCTTTGTGTGAACAGCTTTGCTGAGTGACAGTGGCCTGAACTCCTAAAGTGTGTTTATATAGCGCACATACCCTATTTAAAGTATTGTTGACTTTATTATGAAACAACGAGTTATAACTCCACTTAATGTAATTTTAAGCTTTGCTCAGCTAAGTGGCACAGCGCAATATGTCTTTTGGGACTTTATATATCCCCGGCAAAGGCCTCTTCTTTATCGGTGTGTCTGTGATTGGATTAACCCAGAGCTATGTGCTGAGAGAAAACAATGCTCCATCTACTGCTGATTGCAGCATTTGAGAGTTAGTTTATAAGAGTGTCACGATATCAAAAGATTTGCTTGCTTGCTCTTTTCACCGTGTCAGAGCTGCTCCTTTCTGGTGACAGATTTGAAATACCAAATCTGGGTTACTCTGCAGTTTCTGTTGGCGTGCGTATGTTACACATGTCTGGTCATTTATGCTTCTGGGTATTTTTGTCAGAGGGTTCCTGTTTCAGTCAGTTTGGTTCTGTATGTGCATGTTCAGAAACTTGTTTGTCACACTTTGTGTTCTAGTGGTGCATGGAAAAGCTTCTCAGTGCCATTGTGCTAGTAGATGTGAAGGCCATTGTGTGTAGTCCCTTCATGGAACCATGACTAAAACAACCAGAACTGGGAGAGGAACGATAAGACACTCTGATGCCCTCTGGTTATCCGTTCCAGGCGAGTTGTCTCTGTTAGCCTTTTTTTATTTTTGGTTGGACAATGTAACATTGAATGCACTGCTGAGCATTTCCACCTTGTTTTTTCCACGTTTTTTTGTGTGTGACTCTCAAACTGCCTCCCTCAGAGAGAGATTACTCCTTCATCTCAAGGGTGTTATATAAAACACCATGTTAATTTAGTCCTGTTTAAATGGCCATACCTGTGTTACCGAGGCGAAACTGTGCTGCATCATCTCCCCTCAGAGGCACAAGCCCACTGAGTCGTGTCACTGCATTTTACATCTGTTCTCAAGACTAATAGTCAATCTGTCACTGACTTGGAGTTTTAATCAGTAGCCAACCTGGATAGCCAACCAAGATGTTTTGTTGTGTCAGAATGGATTTGCTGCAAGTGATTTTGAGCTCCTGTCCTCTTGAAATCCACTGACGGTGATGTTACACACTTTAAGTGCAGGCTGTAATGACCACTGCAGTATCATTTGCGAGGGTGCTGATGTCTATTCTCTCCTCATTTTCACTGCCGTCATTGAGTGATACAAAATCCAGAAGGACTGCACTGTATGTCCCAGGCAAACGTTTTGCCAGATCTGATGTTTCAGGACAATCTCTGCAAATAAGCACTTTAGTTAAGTGTATACAGCAGCATATGTGACCCTGGACCACAAAACCAGTCATAAGTAGCATGGGTAAATTTGTAGCAATAGCCAACAATACATTGCATGGGTCAAAATTATAGGTTTTTCTTTTATGCCAAAAATCATTAGGATATTAAGTAAAGATCATATTCCATGAAGATATTTTTGTCAATATATCACAACTTAATTTTTGGTTACTAATATGCATTGCTAAGAACTTCATTTGGACAACTTTAAAGGTGATTTTCTCAATATTTTGATTTTTTTGCAATATCTCTGCCAAATATTGTCCTATCCTAACAAACCATACATCAATGGAAAGCTTTCAGAGGATGTATACAATTGCCCCCTATGAATGGTTTTGTGATCCAGGGTCACATAGGGTGGCATAGAACTTTCAGCTGGCTGAGTTTTTTTATTTTTATGATTATGTGATTATTTTTAATAGTAATTATTCATTATTGAAGATATTATTAATAATTATTATAATTGTTTATAATAATACATTATAATAGTTTTAGTATTATATTAGTAATAATAATAATTATTATTATTGATGTTCTTGTTATTATTGTTGTTATTATTATTCCTCATGTAAAGACACCATAAGTGCAAACTTGTGTATTTGGAATGTACTGTATGCAGAGATGACATTTATTGTATAGAGAGAGACCATAGTTAGCCTATACTCTTACGTTGTTGTTTTTTCCACGACAGAGTATTTTTGAGACTTGTGAGGACTGTGGGAATGTTACAGTGATAACAGTATTTTTCTGCAGTATGTATTTTCCCTGTGTTGATTTATATTTGAATAAATATTTTCTCTGCATCTCTGTGTTTAGCTACCTTTTGTAGTGTGGCAGGATAAAGAACTAAAAAAAAAACATGACTCTAATAAACCTCATTAAATCTGTAAAGGAAGGGCTTAAATCGATAGAAATGTTCCTATTTGTGTAATGTTATGTCGCAATAAAATATCGGCAGCGCGCGTGCGATACCAGGCGCGCTCCCGGCGAAAATTCTGGGGATGCATGCGTTTGAGGCGAAGAACGGGGACGCGCGTCTGGCAGATCTCTCTCTCTGTCTCTCTCTCTGTCTCTCTCTCTCTCTCTCACTCACTCACTCACTCACACTCTCTCTCACTCTCACTCACTCACACACACACACACACAGCATCGGGAGGAGAGCGCAGAAACGGTGGACAGGTGAAGATGGAGAAAGTATTAGGACTCGCCGTGGTGTCCAGTATTTTATGTGTCGGCTCGGTTTTGGGGAAATACGTCAGAGGTATCGTCAACACAAAAGAGGTGAGTATAATGTTTACGTTTTATTGCTGTTGTGCTGGTAATGGTTCTGAGTTCTTCGGCGTTCTTACTGCGCAGCTCCTGGTGGCTGTTATTAATGGGCTCTTATGGCAAGTGTGTATTCACGCCTCCGCGTTCGCTCGCATCTGGAAGCCTGATGCTTTAATATGCTTTGCCAAGATCGTCACACTCGCCGCTATTGAGCCGATGAAAGCGTAATTCGTCCTCCAGCCACAAAAATTACATTTTAAACGGCGTGTTGCCGACATTTAACTTGCATCCTCCCTTCCGCTTTTACAGGTGTGTGTCGACCAAGATGCTCTTCTAGTGTCATTATACAGCATTGTGGAATTGCAGTTATCGCATGCTGGTGTCCAAACAGATTTAAGGTTGCTTAGCTGTGCTTATAAAGGTGCGAGTGTGTGTGATGTGTGTTAATGTGCGTGGACATAATTCAAACATGAACTCGGTGCAAAAAAATTCATTTGGGAACAGACTATTTGAGTCATACATTGCTTTTGAATTGTCTTTATTTGGCATTCATCATTTTCTTTATTTTTAATAGCTGCCGGATGTTTTGATTGCAATGTGCCTTATGGGAAACACTGGATATTATTTGATAGACACAAAGTAAATGTTGGCCTGAAGCAAACAGTGAGACTGATTTTGCTGCAATAAGTTATTGCAGCACTTATTTCATCAGAATAATTTAATGAACAAATATGGGGGAAATGAGGGAACAATACATTTATTTCTTTTCAAAAAGCATAGTCAGCCTATAAAGAACTGCTTAATTAAAATGACTCTTAGTACTTAAAAGCTTCAATAGACAGCTTATTTTTTCTAATTTAACTGATGTCAATTTTACGCAGCAAGTTAATTGATTAAATTATGATTAAGTATGTGTTTGTCTCCTCCAATTAAATTTGGCAGTTGTAGATGAGTCCTGTTTTGTGTTTGCTGTGGGTAATGTAACAATAACCTGTTCCTGCCTGTATCCAAGTGCTGATCCTGCTCTCTTTTAGGTCGCTGAAACGGTTAAATAGTCCATTAATCTCACTTCTGTTTATTTCCTTAAAAGGTCGTTCTTTTACACTGCCATGGACGCATACACACACTTTATACATTACTGGAAGGTTTTGTCAAGTTCAACATTTTTGCTCAATGTTCAACATGTTCAACATCTATCTATCTATCTATCTGTCTATCTATCTACCTATCGTTTTTTTCAGTGTTAGTTTTTAAATAATATTTTGAATCTGTTTCTATTTTTTTACTTTTAAAGTTTTAGTAATTTTCTTGTTTTTTGTGATTTTGTAGTTTTAAAAAAATGTCTATATGGTTTGTATTCATTTTTATTTCAGGTTTAGTTATTTTAGTACATCAAGTTAAACGTAATGAAAATGAGAAATGTTGCTGAAATTAAAAGTTGAACTAGCTGCAATAAAAGGTGTTTTTTATATTTTATTTCATTTCAGTTAACGTTTATTTTATTGCAAGTAACAAAAATATTTTTTAGTGACTATATATATGTATGTACTGTATATATGTGTGTGTGTGTGTGTGTGTGTGTGTGTGTTTGTACTCCTTCCTCTAAATCGAGTCTGGCCAGAGGGTTGTGCAGGAAACCACCTATGGGTAACTAACACTGCCACAGGCATATAAGACTCTTTCTAGGGGCATTCAGGTGTTGTGTGTATTAGTGTATATGTGTGTCCGCACATGTGAGTTCATTTATGCAGTGCTCTGTTGTGTAACTTAAGTAATGAATCATTTAAAGCCCAGTGGGCCTGGGGTGACATGACTAGTTGATTGGTAATTAATTCTTAATGAGGCTTAGCGAGCGGACCGAGATCCAGAAAGACAGTGAGAGGTGAGTCCACCACTGATTCGGCGAAGTGACCGGATACTGCATCTGGGTATAATGCTTGATTAATGTAGTGTCTGTGTGCCATGTCTCTCACCCTTCCTTTGGCTTATTCAATGACTTTGTATTACAAGACCGTGAGAGGTGAGGCCACCACTGATTCGGAGAAGTGACCGGATACTGCATCTGGGTATAGTGCTTGATTAATGTAGTGTCTGTGTGCCATGTCTCTCACCCTCCCTTTGGCTGATTCAATGACTTTGTATTACAATGCAGTATCTGTAGGGGGGTTGAGACAGATGTCAGGGATTAATAGTGACACTTTTTATGGCACCACAACATACACATTCTGCTGTGCAGCCAGCCACTATACGAGGATGAGTTTACAATCGTCTCAGTCTTCTCTTTCAACACTAATGTACTTATAATACTTTAAAAGAAGAATTGTCATTTAAGTCATTTTAAAAAAGTAAGTTATTTTATTAAAGTACTTACATTAATTGTTGTGTTAAACTGTTGTACTTGTGTATTACTGTAAAACTGTTTAAATCATCTTTACATTCATTATACCATTACATTGTCATAGCTACATAATAGTAAATTTGGATATAACTTTACATAGAAAATAAACGTTTTAATAGCTATTGGGAGAGTTATTTGATTGCTCTGAGCCTTATGAGAACCACTGGCTATTATTTGATAGACACCTAGTGCAAAATATATATATTGGCCTGAAGCAAACAGTGAGACTTACTGTGCAGCAAAAAGTTATTGCAGCACTTATTTCATCACATTGAGTGAACATGAAGGAAATAAAATGAAGGAACAATACATTTATGCATAAATGTATAACACAGCCTATAAAGAATTGCTAAAATAACTTTTTATGACCTAAAATCTTCCATTTTCTTTGCATAAAAATCCATGTGAGTGAATTCAATAGTAGTAGTAAAATGGGATATTACTTCACATACCAAAGAAAAGGTTGGTAAGCATTTCTTACTCTAAATATCAAGCACTCAAAAAAAAAAAAAAAACTTTCTGTATTAGGCCCATTCACATCCACTTTAAATGCCTCAGTATAATTCAGATTTTGATTACACTTTATTTTAAGGTGTCCTTGTTACAGTGTAATTATACATTTATGTACTAAGTTATATTAATTTACTACATGTACTTACTATATGGTTAGGGTTAGGCTTAGGGTTACTTGCATGTAATTATGCATAATTGTTATTATAATAGTAAGTACATGTACCGTGTAACAAGGACACTATAAAACAAAGTGTTACCTAGATTTTTTAATTAAATGAGGGATGAGTCAGTTTTTTTTTATTCTAGTAATCAACATTATGCTACAAATTCTCTCAGTTGAGCTTTTTTCTGACAAAAAATAGACCTGACTGTGCAATCACATGGGAAACGTGACAGATGGGAATGTGAACAAGGACGGAAACAATGTTGTGAAGTCCTTTGGTTGTAAAAACTGGGATTTGAGGACAGTCGTTCGTGATATAGACTGAGTCGGGCCTCTCCTGGTTTCTATAGTAGCTGCAAAGTGCATTATGTGTCTGTTGCCATGAAAATAGTACTTCGATTTTTCTATCAGAGAGGGCTTTTTTTTTCTCTTTTTTTTTTTTTGAGTGGGTGTTATTTTTTTTTAACTGGCTGACTGACCATAGGTGCTCTTTTACGTGTGCTTCTGTTTTAGAGAGACAAGGTGGTCTTTCAGAAGCTTGGTCATGTGACGTGGTTATTTGGGCTCAGTTCTGGGTCAGAAAGTCTTAAGGCTGGTGTCTGTATTGTCAAGGAAACCTGTTGTTATAGAAACCACCAACAGAAGACACTGAAGGGAGAAGTTAATATGGACAAGGGGCTGAAAGCTGGACCGCACTTAGTGCCATTTTACACTTCACTGACTGCGTGTGTGTCTGTCAGTGTAAGTTCAAGAGAGTGTGTGTGAGATGAGACCAGACTGAAGCCCTGAACACTGCAGGAACTTATTAACCCTTCAGCTGTTACAGTATAATGTGATATGAAGATTTTTAAACTGTTATCGCTGCATTATTTCAGATTTATAGTAGATAAGACTGGTTTTATGAATTTTTGGGGTGTGAAGCTCAGGGCTTGGAAGCAGAAGTTTGCTGCAAGCTGTGCTCCATCACTATTGTGTCAGTGAGCAAGCTCCAGGGGAAATGTGCTTCTGATAAATGTACTGTAAGCTGCTTTGTCTGCTAAATGATGTCATGTCTGGATGGTGAAGCCGTTCTGTGAAAGTTTCATGAGATTGGTGTTTGCTGCTGGCGCGGGTACAGTTGCTGCGGGACTCCAAATAAACAGCGCATGAATGTCGCTCAGAATGAAGGTTACCATCCAGACACAGCTGATACATAGCTATTTGATTCCCTTCTGTTTCACTCCCCTCTTCTCCACAGGACTGGCTTTTCCTCACAAGATTTTGCTTCCTGACTGATTTTGGCCGACTGAACTTCAAGTTCCGATACCCCAAGGTAAACTTAAAGACCTGTATTTGAATTTTTACTCCTGAGTAGATTACTAATGTTGTACAATCTTCAATACTTACATGGATGCATAATACAGTGGGTACGGAAAGTATTCAGACCCCCTTAAATTTTTCACTCTTTGTTATATTGCAGCCATTTGCTAAAATCATTTAAGTTAATTTTTTTTCCTCATTAATGTACACACAGCACCCCATATTGACAGAAAAACACAGAATTGTTGACATTTTTGCAAATTTATTAAAAAAGAAAAACTGAAAAATGCTCAGTATTTAGTAGAAGCACCCATTTGATCTAATACAGCCATGAGTCTTTTTGGGAAAGATGCAACAAGTTTTTCACACATGGATTTGGGGATCCTCTGCCATTCCCTCTTGCAGATCCACTCCAGTTCTGTCAGGTTGGATGGTAAACGTTGGTGGAAAGCCATTTTTAGGTCTCTCCAGAGATGCTCAATTGGGTTTAAGTCAGGGATCTGGCTGGGCCATTCAAGAACAGTAACAGAGTTGTTGTGAAGCCACTCCTTCGTTATTTTAGCTGTGTGCTTAGGGTCATTGTCTTGTTGGAAGGTAAACCTTAGTTCCAGTCTGAGGTCCTGAGCACTCTGGAGAAGGTTTTCGTCCAGGATATCCCTGTACTTGGCCGCATTCATCTTTCCCTCGATTGCAACCAGTCGTCCTGTCCCTGCAGCTGAAAAACACCCCCACAGCATGATGCTGCCACCACCATGCTTCACTGTTGGGACTGTATTGGACAGGTGCCTGGTTTTCTCCACACATACCGCTTAGAATTAAGGCCAAAAAGTTCTATCTTGGTCTCATCAGACCAGAGAATCTTATTTCTCACCATCTCGGAGTCCTTCAGGTGTTTTTTAGCAAACTCCATGCGGGCTTTCATGTGTCTTGAACTGAGGAGAGGCTTCCGTCGGGCCACTCTGCCATAAAGCCCCGACTGGTGGAGGGCTGCAGTGATGGTTGACTTTCTACAACTTTCTCCCATCTCCCGACTGCATCTCTGGAGCTCAGCCACAGTGATCTTTGGGTTCTTCTTTACCTCTCTCACCAAGGCTCTTCTCCCCCGATAGCTCAGTTTGGCCGGACAGCCAGCTCTAGGAAGGGTTCTGGTCATCCCAAACGTCTTCCATTTAAGGATTATGGAGGCCACTGTGCTCTTAGGAACCTTAAGTGCAACAGAAATTTTTTTGTAACCTTGGCCAGATCTGTGCCTTGCCACAATTCTGTCTCTGAGCTCTTCAGGCAATTCCTTTGACCTCATGATTCTCATTTGCTCTGACATGCACTGTGAGCTGTAAGGTCTTATATAGACAGGTGTGTGGCTTTCCTAATCAAGTCCAATCAGTATAATCAAACACAGCTGGACTCAAATGAAGGTGTAGAACCATCTCAAGGATGATCAGAACAAATGGACAGCACCTGAGTTAAATATATGAGTGTCACAGCAAAGGGTCTGAATACTTAAGACCATGTGATATTTCAGTTTTTCTTTTTTAATAAATCTGCAAAAATGTCAACAATTCTGTGTTTTTCTGTCAATATGGGGTGCTATGTGTACATTAATGAGGAAAAAAAATTAACTTAAATGATTTTAGCAAATGGCTGCAATATAACAAAGAGTGAAAAATTTAAGGGGGTCTGAATACTTTCCGTACCCACTGTACATCAGTAGCACATTTAGGCCTATAAGTATCACCAGTTATGTTGGATTGATTGATTGATTGATTGATTCAATTGATATTAGATATCTAATTGTACATGCTCATTTCATTTGTTTTTACATTTAGATTACCTTTGCTGTCATTTAATTCTTCTTTACAGTTAATCTTTAAAAACACTAATGATTTAATAACTCTGTTAGTTGTAATCACTAGCACATATCAAAATAAATATCATTTTTGTCAGAAAGATCATATTTTTTTCATTTGGTACTGGACTTCAGAAGCTACATAAATACTTAAATGTTTCCCAGAAGACAAAATAAGTACAATTTACCCTGATCATCCAATTCAAAAAGTTTACACCCCCGTCTCTTAATGCATTGTGTTGCATTCTTGAGTGTCAGTACATTTTCACCTGGTAATTGTTGTGTATGAGTCCTTCAGTTGTCCTCAGTGTGAAAAGATGGATCTCAAAATCATACAGTCACTTTTGGAAAGGGTTCAAATATGCAGAAGATGCTGGAAAACCAAAGAATGTGCAGGAGCTGGAGGGTTTTTTTTTCAGAAGTTGAACTGCTCAGGACCAACAAGGGACTCATGAAAACTATCACAAAATATAAAAACAGTTGTGGATCATCCATGAAATGACACATAGTGTTAAGATTCAAGGGTATGTAAACTTTTGAATGGGGTCATTTTTATAAATTCAGTTATTATTTTGTCTTGTGGAGAATATATCAAAATCTGTTATGTGAAATAGCTTATTCAGGACAGTATTAAATAAAAAATAACATGCAATTTTCATGATCCCTCTTATTTTGTTAAAATGATTAATATTTTCCATATTCTGCAAGGGATATGTAAACTTATGAGCACAACTATATATATATATATATAAAACAATTATTAACAATATATGAAAATTATATTAATAATTGACATTGATTCGACTAGAATTATAATATATTTTGTTTGTTGTGTTTTACACGCACGCACGTACGCACGCACACACATATAACAATTATTGCCTATTTCATGATTATTGCATATAACAATTATTGTCTATTACATGATTACGTGAACATATAAATAATTGAAAATGATTCGACTAGAATTATAATATTGTGCATCTCTCACAACATAAATATCATAAATAAATAAATAAATATCATAATTATCCCTTCACAACATAAATATAATATTTGCCTAAAATCTTAATTTGGTTTAGTTGTTTTCATGACAAATACCAAATTTATGGGTAACAAAAAAAAAAAAGTTCTACAAAGTTTGACCATTAAATTATGTTGTCAGACTGTGCCTTTCGTTTGTCTTTCTCTGTCAGTCATTTTCTATATAGATCCAATATATCTTTTAAGTTTCTAGATTTAGTTTTTAAGTTTCTATTAATCTCTCCCCCTTTCTCTATCTATCTATCTATTGATCTATCCTGTCTTTCTCTTCCTCCCTCTATGACTGTTTTTCACTGAAAGTCCCGATGCTGTCAGAACATCTTGCTCTACTTTGATGAAAGCTCTCAGTGGCCAGCTGTGTACAAGAGGCCGGACAAGGTGAGACACACACTGTCAGACTTTGTGTTTGTGTGTGTGAAAATATTGAGTGTTCTGACAGACTGCGTGTGTGTGCGTGAACAAACAGAGCGCGAGCATGAATGCGTGCTTTCCGCATCAGTAGAAAGTATGAGGATTAAAGGAAAAATGTCAGCAGTGCTCTGTGGATTAAAAGTCCAAATCCAGTCTCCAAAAAGACATGAGTGTCAGTGCATGTGCGTGTTTAAATCCAGCACATTTTCTCCCTCCCCGTGGCAGGATCTGCATTGCGGGACTCTATAGAAAAAGTGCTTGTAGGAAGCCCCTGCTCTTCATCACACTCCTCTAGTACTAATCTGCTACTTAGTACTTCAGCTCTTGTTATTGTTACAGGGTGTTTGAAATCCCATGGAGAGCATGTTTGTTAATGGAGGGTTTATGTGCTCTACAGGACTGCTACCAGAAAGAGTCAGTATTGAGGCCTGAAAATAACCAGGTCATCAACCTGACCACCCGCTACACCTGGTCTGGCTGTATGGTAAGAAAAAAGCTATTAATATATAGTCTTGTGTGATTGTGTGTGTGTGTCCTTTAGGCTTGAAGTAGTATGGTTACAGTATTAAACTGATGTTCTGCACCACTGGCACTGCCAAAAAATAATTGTTTTCAAACTGGTTTCCCTAACACATCCCCTGTCTGCCATTGGTTGAGCTAAATCAAACAAACATAATTAAACATGCCACTGTATTTACATATTTTGATTAATGGCTCACTCCTGTCTCTGCATATTAAACTGGGATAGAAGATGGAACGAAATTACACACATCAACAATAAATTATAACTGTTCTCTGTTGAATTAGCGATGAACAACTGCACAATGAAGAGTTGCTTCTCTTTACAATCTTATGTCTTTGTGTCTGCCTCTGTCAGGTGGAAGGCGAAGGTAATGAAGAGATGCTGAGTTGTGTAGGAGGTCGAAGTTTTCGTTCTGTCAGAGAGAGATGGTGGTACATTGCGCTCAGCAAGTGTGGGGTGAGTGTTGATACAGTAAACAATATACGAGGAACTAGGAATGTGCCTGAAGCAGACTACCGTATTCAGAAAGGCATGATTAATGACCACAGAATGAATAACTAATTGTACCAAATTATACAGAAGTACAAGGGTAAATTGTGTTTTTAATGAACATATCAAACAACATAATGGTTAGTCTGTGAAGCATATGATTAAAGTTGTATCTTGTGAATGAAAATGAGAACTGTGTGAAATTCAAATCAGCTGGCCGTGTTGCTGTTTCCTTTTACTGTGAACTTCTGAGAAAATCAAAGATTAAAAATATCATACTGTATAATTTTTATATTTAAAAATGCTTATGGTAATATTTTAAATATACTGAGCAGTGTTGGTATTTGTTGACTAAATCTAATAAAAAAGTGTTTTCATTGATTGAGAATGTAAAATTGATGAACAATATGTACATTTTAATGAACAATGAAAATGTTATGAAACAAAAAACAAAACAAAAGTTGTATTAATGTAATCTAAGTCTAAATATAAAAAAACATAAAATTACTAAAACTTAATCTAAAATTAAAATAACTGAAAATGTAAAAATAATAGCTTATTTAAAATATGAATAAATATTATAATAGTACAGTATAATAATATTATGAATTATACAAGGCATATTTGCTAAACGGATTAGAGTCTAAATATGGTTTTCATTACATTTTGATGCACTTCCAGTTTCACCCACATTTATGTCTATATGAATATAGAAACAGATCATTTTGACATTGCAACTGATAAGGATAGATATATATACAGTAGATAAAAGTTTACATCGTCCTATGATAATAAAATATTTGCTTAAAAAAGACATTGTATGATACATCTAAAATATATGCTTTTTCGACCGCTTCCTTCTTTATTATTACTGGCTTTACTGTACAATCCAAAATACACTGAAGTTTGCATATATAGCATGTAGGAAACATGGCAAGTGTTTGTTTGACCTGATTGTAAGGAATGTTATTAAAGGGATTTTTTTGAAGATGAAGAGGCTCAGTTCTGCATTGGGCCATCTTCAGGAGGCAGTGAGTGATTCTTGTTGTTGCTGCTTGAAGTGATGCACATGTAGTGTTGGAGAGGTACACGATGTGAAAGGGTTTTAGCCAGATAAATGGGGCAAAATGTAAAGGGTTGTTTCATGGATGGAGGCAGACTGATGGATGCAGGGCTAAATCCTGTTGGATTGAAGTAAAGCACAGTCCCTAAGGGAGCCTCTCTGCGTCTGGCTGCCAATTACCTCGACATCTCCTAACTTCTGTTATAGGCACTTGATTACTCGCTTCAGCCTTTCATGCTCATTTTGTTTGTATCTAACGGCCTTTTCTCTGTCCCTCTCCAGCTCTATATCTCTGTCCCGCTCTCTCTCTTTCCTCTCCATCTCTGGCCACATTGATTTGGTGATAGGGCATGCTTCATGCACCTCACCTTTTTGGAGTGCGGGAGAGGGAATGGGTTTTTCCTGCCAAGTGAAATCAAAGTGTTTCTCTTTTATTAAGCCGGGCCGAAATCCTCTCAACAGCTAGAAACTGTGCTGCTTTGAAGTCTTTTATAGCCCAAAGATCTGTTTGTGCACTCAGTGTTTGTATGGTCTCTGAAGCTCCCCACTCACTTTTTCTCTCTCTGTTTTACACCTCCTGCGTTTCTCTCCTCTGAACTCCCTCTTTTTCTCTTTCGCCATACAACACAGGGAGATGGGCTGCAGCTGGAATATGAAATGACATTAACCAATGGACAGTCCTTTTGGACCCAGCATTTCTCTGCAGATGAATTTGGTGAGACATGACTGAAAGTGGGAGGAATTTATTTTGTATTATGTGAAAGCATGGCAAAATGTATCCATTATAATACTACCCTTCAAAAGTGTGGGGTCAGTGCAATAATTTAATGTTTTTAAAAGAAGTGTTTTATGCTCACCAAGGATACGTTTATTTAAATAAAATACAGTAAAAACTGTGATATTGTGAAATATTATTGCAATTTAAAATAACTTTAATATGTTTTAAAATGTGATTTATTCTTTTGATTGCCGTTTCTAATATGCTGATTAGGTGCTCAAACATTTCTTATTATTATCACTGTTAAATAAACTGCTTAATATTATTGTGAAAATCATGATAAATTTTTTCCAGGATAAAAAAACTATACAAATCGTATACTCACCCTCAATGTTTTTTGAATCTGTATAATTTACCATCTAAAATGTGAATGGTGACCAGGGCCCAGGGTTTTCAAGCTCCAAAATGACAAAAAAAAAGAAACATCTTACAAGTAGTCTATACAAATTTTGCACCATATTCATCTATAAAGCTGTGTACCAAATACTGTACACTGTAAACTATGCACTTATACACTATATACTTATATATAGTGTGTGAACTGTATAAGGTGGTTTTGTCATTTATAATCAGAGTCAGTCCAGAATTCCATGCTTTGTTTTTTTTCATTTTTTTATTTAAGTGCATCATCCAGGTATTTAAAAAATACACATATTCTTTTTGGAATTTTCAGTGTAAACACACTACTCACACTATTTATACTACAAAACGGCATAGAATAGTGCATAAGTTTGCAAATTGGGATGCACCTCAAGTCTTTTGAAGCTATACAACAGCTTTGGGTAAGAAAAAGATAAGAGCTTCATTGCTGACTAAAAATATTCCTCTCCATCACAGCTCTCAAATCTCATATGTAAAATGTGAATGCAACTTTGGCACATCACGATCAAGACCAATAACTTTTGACATCTGTGGCAGTAAATCTGGCATGTTATTGTCTTTGTGCCATGTTTAATGTGAACAAAATGGAAAGAAAGAAAGAAATTGATTTGTCTTTTAGTTCTACTAATAATTTTGCCATGTTCACTATTCTATTTAATATGTGAATTAAATAATAATACTAATAATAATTATATATTTTGTCCCCTGGTTACCATTTACTGTAATTTAAAGTCATACTATATGGAAAAGAACAGTGTGAACATTCTGCTAAATTTCACATTCTTAGAAAGCTGTACAGCATTGGTTTGGAATGAGAGAGAGAGAGAGAGAGAGAGAGAGAGAGAGAGAGAGAGAGAGTGTAAATAATGAGAATTCTTTCAAGACATTTATCATGCTTATATCGTGACTGAATACTGTTCTTGTTTTGCTCTGTTTATGTGTTTCAGGCATCCTGGAGACAGACATCACGTTCTTGGTTATATTCGCCACTGTGTTTACACTGTCTTGTTATTTTGCTTGTGAGTTTCCATGTCCTGGAGGTATAAATGACCTTAGATGTGTTGGTCTCAGTGCATAATTCGCAAGTCTTATTATTCAGTGTTAAATTAAAAGATATTTTTAGCCATCTCCTCCAGATAAACAGACCTACAGATACTATGAGTCTATCTGCATTAGTTATTCATTTCTCCTCAATCTCTTTTCTTCTGTGTAATTCTTTAAGATAATTTAAAGGGAAGACAGCTGCTCCATACGACCTATAAGATGTTTATGACTGCGGCTGGAGTGGAGGGTGAGAAAGGCCACTGCACACACTCATACAGATAAACACAAGCACACACATTTTTATGACACTAGGCTTTGCGACGCTGGATGCATAACAATATCTCTTGTGTCATCCCTTCTTTCTTTCATCCTTATCTCCTCCCCACATTCAACTTCTTCCTCTGTGCTCTCATGGCTGCTACTGTGACTTATCTCTCTCTCTTCTCTCTTATCTCTGGCATGCTTTACGCTCTGATTCCAGTCTTAAGCCTGCTTTTCTTTTGCATTTACTGGGGCCTTTATGCCCGAGATGGTTTTGGGAATGGCAGCCTCAAGATATTAGGTAAGAAAAACACTTTATGAATGAGTCAGATACTCATTATCGGAAAATAAACCCTGCTTGGGTGGTCTTATATCATTCTGAAGGTTTTTTTATTTTTATTATTTTAGTAATAACCAGCTGACTGTACATTATCTTGAATTTTATCCTGAACTACTTAGCATACAAATAAATGATTGACATGTAATATTATTTTTATTCTCCAATCCAATCTTTTTCTATAGACAAGTTACCTAACATTTAATTTCAATGTACACGTCTTCCTCTTTTTTTTAAAGAAAAGTGTTTTGTAAGAATATTTGATGAAACCACAAATATTGTATTATAATATTGTGCTAAACGGTATTACGATGCAGCATCTAAACATACTCGGTTTTAGCATCACACATTAGTGTGCTTGTGACTGGATTCATTCTTAAATGCTGACCTGATTCGTAACCTACTTGCGGTCACCTCTGTAACTCTCTGCGGCTCTCTTCCTCTCACCAGGGAAATTACTCTTTTCTGTGAGCTTCCTGATTTTCTTGCTCATGCTGATTCTCCTGGGCAAGGGATTCACAGTCACCAGGTAGGAGGCCTTACTTCTCACATAATGTGGGTAATGACTTACAAGGCTAATCATGCTAATGTGACCCAGATGTCAAGACAAACCTGTATCCAAATTTGAGTATGTGCTGAATTCAAGAATGAACTTACTTTTGGTGCTGATGTTTTTTTTAGGTTTGCAGGTGATCCTAAGTATCTTTTGACTAATGTTTTCAAAGAAGATGACGTAGTGATAATGTTTCTCTCTTTTTTGATTTCCAGGGCAAGAATAAGTCACAGTGGCTCTGTGAAACTATCCATTTATATGACAGTATACACCATCACGTACATCATCCTCTTCATATATGAAGCAGAGGTAAGATCTGATTGACTTAACCTTTTCCTTTTAGGCTGACAATAAGCTGAATAGTCATAACATTCACTACTGTTCAAGAGTTTGAGGACAATAAGGTTTTTTTTTTTTAAAGAAACTTTTTTTAAAGAAATCCTTTTTTAAATAATCTTTTGAAAGAAATACTTTTTCTGTGTTTGTTTTATTTCAGATAAATGCTGTTTTGTTTTTTTGCTTTTTTGTTTTTTACTTTATATTTATCAAAGAATCCTGAAAAAAAAAAGTATCACAGTTTTCACAAAAAAATTAAGCAGCACAATTTTTTTCAACATTGGTAAAAATAAGAAATGTTTCTTGAGCATTAAATCAGCATATTAGAATTATTTCAGAAGGGGATCATGTGACTAGTAATAACTGCTAAAAAATTCAGCTTTGCCATCACAGGAATAAATTACTTTTTAAAATGAATTAAAATAGAAAACAGTTGTAATAATAAAAAATGTTTTACTTTATTTTTGTTTAAAAAAATGAGCATAAAAATTCAAGAAACATTTTAAAATCTTACAGACCCCAAACTTTGTGTATTTCTGATGGTTTTGTAGGCAATATACACTGAACATTTAATTAACACAATATAATTTATCCTTTTGTTCATTTATTGAAATAAAAGGTAACACTTTACTGTACTGTAAGACTTTATGTATAATGCATTATAAATGTAGTTTTAATGCATTAATTATGCCTTGTAATGCACCTTATAATGCATTGTACAATCTTATGAATAAATGTAATGTAAACAGGTAATACATTATAACACTTATCAAGTCATTGTTACACTATGCATTTTAAATTCGGTTCTAATTATTTACGACAAGATATTATATATTACAACACACATTATGAATCATTATAATGCATTGTACCCATTTTTAACCCGTTATAATGTATTATACATAAGTTATACAAAAAGGTCTTAACTGTTATATTGTAATTTAGTTTTCAGAAATATTTTGAATATAATTTGCTACAATTACTTCAGCTGAAATGATGGATGCAGGCAAATAATATACCATAGATAACCACATACCAGAAATGTCTTCGAATGTCTATTAATTACCTAATGCGTAAAAAGTCTGAGAACTCCTCATCTTTGAGCACTATCAGCTGCAGTTTCTCATGCTGCACCTGAGAGCTACTCCACTCTATACATAATGTAAGGCTGCGAGATGAAGTTACTCAGCTTGAGCATGTCGTGCTGCTGTAGTGTGCTGTAATGGAACCCGGCAGATAGACAGATAGATAGAGAGAGAGAAAGACCCAGATAAGCTCTTGCAGTATCATTGAAGAGCTCCTGTTGCATCTTGTGTCAATGTCACCCTTGCTCTAATGTAGCTTTAGATGTTTGGATTTAAGAAATGTTCTGCCATTTTCCACTTATGCAGCCTAACAGATTGTGCCATGGTCGGGTTTAAAACCATCAGTCATACAGATGGGTTGCCAAGGGCGGGGATTTCTCCGTTCCCACTCCCACTGCGTGTGTGTTTGTAGTTCTTTGATCCAGGCGAGGTGCTGTATGCTTATGACAGCCCTGCAGGGTACGGTCTAATGGGTCTGCAGCTGCTTGCCTACGTATGGTTCTGCTACGCTGTGCTGGTGTCCCTCAAACACTACCCTGAAAAACAACCTTTCTACATCCCCTTCTTCACTGCGTACACTCTGTGGTGAGTTTTGCTGTAATACAAAACCAGAAGCTTATATTATTTTATTTTTCCATTGCTTTAATTCATTTGATGAATAAACATGAATGTGCAAGAAGAAACATAAATTGTTACAAACATGCATCAACTGGCGGTAAAAGCACTTTTACTCCCATTTCATTCAGCATGAAATAAAAAATATATGTATTCTAAATGTGTGTTATTTATTTTACTGACTAATCTGTGCATGTTTAAGTTTATTCATTCATTTATTTTTTGGTACTGTTTTAATTCAAAATGTTGTCAAGTCAATCTTTCTGTGATGTATGCCGGACTTATACTTAAACCCCATCTCTCGCTTATAATCGAAACAACAACCAAAGTATAAAATGGATTCCCTGTCCTTCATTTTTTTCTTTTTCGATAATCGGTTTCACTTGGATACGTCACAATATGGAAACAAAAGATGTGACGCTACTTTAATAGTGCTGTAAACACCACTTAGTGTACAATATGTTTTCATCATACAAAATAGTCAAATGTATTCAAAGTACAATATTTAGCTTTGGCAAGAACTTTTCCAGGTTAGAATTTTTGTTCAACACCTCACGTAAGGTGTCTGAGAGTGACACTCCTAATATCAATGGCATGGGTTTGAATCATGGGAAATGTGAACTCAAAGTAAAACAATTTTTAAACTTAACTTTTCACATAAGTCTTTTTATGAAACTAGACTGAAACTGTTTGTCTCTACTTTGACTCAAAGCTCTCCACAGCCTTTGTAAATCTGTAAAGAAGATTGACAGTATAAAGCTTATGTTCTTCTTTTCATCCATTACTTTTTCACCCATAGGTTTTTTGCTGTGCCAGTCATGGCTCTGATTGCCAACTTTGGCATCTCTCGCTGGGCCAGGGAAAAGATTGTGAACGGCATCCAACTCGGCATCCATCTCTATGCCCATGTCGTCTTCCTGGTATGATTTTTTTTGTTGCTGTTGTGTATTGTTACTTCATTTATTTAGGCTAATAATATGATAAAACACCCTGCATGACTAATCCTGTCATTCTAGGCAATCACACGTCCGTCAGCAGCCAATAAGAACTTTCCCTACCACGTGCGCACGTCACAGATAGGAATCCTTCTCTCCAGTCCTAAAGGCATGGGGGCGGAAAGTTTCCCTCATCATGCCTATGGGAATAGCTCCTTCCTGGGAGACTCTCAGCCAAACTTCACAGAGCTCTTCTCCATCCACTCAGTGAGTATTAGATGTTGTAATAGGAATGAAAAAACTGATTTGAATATAAGTGAACTTATTTTGATGATAATATAATCAGGTTGGGCAGCTTTTTGAATAAAGGTTCCAAAAGGTTTTAAAGGGGTCATATGATGCGATTTCAAGTTTTCATTTCTCTTTGGAGTGTTACAAGCTGATTGTGCATAGATAAGATCCCTGAAGTTGTAAAGACTAAAGTCTCAAAACCAAAGAGATATTCTTTATCAAAGTTAAGACTCTGCCACGCCCCCCTAAAACGGCTCGTTCTAACACGCCCCCACATATCTACATCACTACGTGGAAATATTAGCATAATGCCGCCCAAATGTGCACGAAAAGAAAGAAGGCGTGGTTTCAGTAACAGCAGTTAGTGTTGAAGCAGCATGTCAGGGAGACGCTGTGTGTTTCAGTGCGAAAGCAAAAGCACTTTATTTGGATCACTTACAACAGAACAGCAATGCATTTTATGGACGACCGTTTCGTGAACCTAGGAGAGGAGGTAATTCTGACTTTGCTATGACAATCTGACGCTTCTGAATCAGCTACTGTTTTGTTATTAGTTTAAGTATTTGCTATTGACTGTTCAAATGCGGAGTTTTGCGCATAGTGTGTGTGTGTGTGTGTGCGCGCGAGAGAGAGAGAGAGGTGTGTGTGTGTGTGGAGGACCTACAATAATGTACAGTATTTGAAAAATAATGTGTTTTTTGAACATTAAAGCATGTCAACATATTCTGTTACACCAAATAAGCAAAATAATGATCTTTAAAAAAGCATCATATGACCCCTTTAAGCATTGAAGAACCATTTTTCCTGATTGTGTTGAACATTTAAAAAAAATCTAAAGAAACTTTTTCCACTATAAAAAACCTGTGCAATGTAAAGTTTCCACGGATGTTAAAGGTTCTTCATGAAACGTAGATGCCAATAAAGAACCTTTATTTTTAAGGGATATTTCACCCAAAAATGAAAATTTGGATGAGTTTATTGCTTCATTGGAATGGATTTGGAGAAATGTACAAATTCAAAATGTACATTACATCACTTGCTCACCACTGGATCCTCTGCAGTAAATGGGTGCCGTCAGAATGAGAGTTCACAAAGCTGATAAAAACGCCACAATAATCCACAAGTAATCCAGTAAATTGCAGTCCACCAATTAATGGTGCATTTTTGCAATAAACAAACCAATCTTTAGGACATTTTTAATTTCAAACCACTGCTTCTGACTAAAATACCAAAACTGGCTAAAGCCCAAAATGCTCTATCAATAACATGGTTGTCTCATCTGAATCAAGAGAGAAATATGCACAGATCAAGTACCATTTACAAGTGAAAACTGTCCAAAACTAAACATGTGATGTGAAAGGATAACGGACTGGTCTTTTTTACTTTTTTTTGGCCAGAGGCAATGGTTTAAATTTTAATTTTTAATAATGGATTTACTACAAACACGCAACTGTTCTGTGTGCTTGTTGGACTGGAGTTTGTGGTGATTTTATCAGCTGTTTAGAATCTTATTTTGATGGCACCCATTCACTGCAGAGGATTCATTGGTGAGCAAGTGATGTAATGCTACATTTCTCCAAATCAGTTACGATGAAGAAACAAACCGGATGACCTGAGGGTGAGTACATTTTCAGCAAATGTTCATTTTTGGGTGAACACTTCATTTAAGAGTGTACTTTCATATAGTGTTATTTCATATAATCCATGTTATGTTTCCCTATTGAGGACCCTGTGAAGACGATAGATGAGACAGTGGCTCGGAAGGGACAGGAAGTGCCAAGGAACAGTGAGCACAAGATCATCACCACAACAGCGGACCTGTCGTCTACATTCTCCCCTCTTCCTCCTCCCATACCACCACGCAGCTCCGCACACTCTCCCCCTCCTCCTAGATTAACGTCCCATTTCACCGAGTATTTTAGTATGCAAGGGGCCGCGGGGATGGGCTCCAATGCCTAGAGCGGGCCAGAAGAGGAACAGTCCATGCGGAAACTACTTTCAAACATCTATGAGGTGGAAAAGAGTTCAATATTTCAATAGATTAGGTTAAGGCAAGCGTGAAAAAGCAAAGCCACTTTCAAAAAAGTTACCAAACATCCATATCTTTGAATTTGTAAAGAGAAATGCAAGCTGTAGAGCGTCAAGAGAGAGTGGGGCATAACCTGCTCACACAGCCCCTAAAAAATAAGCAATAAATATTTCAGTGAGATGACAGAGAGTCACTGGAGAGAGATAATATACAGGCAGTGCAATAGTGACAGGAGACAATGGTCAATCTAGAGTATAGATATTTCAGGCTTAATGTGACCGTAGGATAGCAGTGTGTACAGTAACAGTACAGTGAGCTCTTGACAGTTTTTATGCTTCATTCATTTCAAGTGGTGCCGCTAATATTTGTATTTCCATGCCATTTTAATGCAACAGAACCAAGTATTCGTTTCCCTCGCTACATTTTTTAATGTTTTGAGAATTTATGTACACATTTTGTCTGTAAAGTTGAGATAATTTAGGGTTTATATATTTTTATTCACATTGAATAAAAGCGAATACAGCTAGAGACTTTGCAAACTGATATTAAACTGCAATGGCAAGTTAACTGTGGAACAACTAGGCAGTATTTGTAAACCATGCATGTTTGTGCTTTGTCTACATTCTGATATATTCAATGTAATTTTGGGTGTGCCTAGTTTTCACAACTAGTGGTCTTAATTTTGTATGCAGTACACACTTGTTTATAGTTACAGTATGTAGAGAATATTTATCGAAAGCGCAAGTCTTTCTGTATTGTCAGTTCTGTGCAGGGATGTGTAGAGTTCAAAAACGATTTGAACAGTTTTGAGTTCAGATTCAATTTCTGCAAACTTCGTTACACATTTGTACATTTAATAACCCTCACAGCGGTCTTCGGCGGATATGGAGATCTTTTATTCTATCAGTGAGTATAAAGTAAATTCATTCAGTCCGCTGGGGTTATCTTAAGGTTTGTTTACTTGTGTCTGATGAAATATAGCTCTACTCCTACAGAAACACTTTGTATTGACAGCATGGAGCACTTTACCGTTTTGAAACACTTATTTCATTACCATCAGAGACCCGTGAAAATGCAGCCATAATGCAATACAGTGAAAGACAAATGTAGAGGTAAAATGTGAAGGTTTTACCTGTAAAATGTCCTTTATCACTGCTGTTTCTTTTTATTTATTTAACAAACAACCAGTTGTGGGTCGTATTTATGTTATATATCAACATATCCTATATAATCTCCATCTGAAATTGACCTGCTTTACATATAATCCTATTAGTTATGTACATAATAATTACATATTTATATTTAATTTTTTTAAGAGAAGAACCATACTTGAAGAATCATTAAATCTAGGTTCCTGTGGTTTGATTTTTTGTATTAATGGATGTGCTTGGGCCTTAAGCCATTTCTTTAATAAACACTGAACTTGTTCTGTCTGAAAGCCATCAGAAAAGGTGATTTGAAAAGGCTTTGCCAT